AAAACGATAAAACAGACAAAGCCCTGACAACAAGATCCTGTAAAAACTAAATCACGCAAACAACTAGCGGAATGCTAGCTATCAATAATGTTTTCGAAATTTAAAAACCGGCTAAGAATTGGTAGCAGCGATCATATGTTGTTCAAAGGAAACTGATGTAAAGAAACTGTCCATGCTATTAAAAGCCTAAATCGGTCTTCAACGAAAGCCACAGTGATCTGCTCGATCGATTCCCACGATAACGATGAGAGGTGTTCCGATCTCGGCCCTACTGTTGTAAGTTCCTTGCAATCTGTCAACGATTTCACTGCTAAAAACAACATTCGTGAAGATGGTCATACTACTTTTGCTGTTCTTGATGCTGCGATTGTTGCGTGGTGCTTTCCAACTCTGAATCTCGTCGTCTGCTTGATGCATAGGCGACAAACATTTCTTTCAAAAACGATAGTTCTTTCTGAAGACCTTCGACCTGAAACAACAACGTCGGAGTGGCACGCACACAGGCAGAGAACATCTGTACAGAAATATGTTCTTCACCTTATACAATTAATAAACGAATGCGGTGTAAAAACGAACCTTCCTTTCCAAGTCGGCATTCTCCTTCCTTAGCTCTTCTACCCTCACCATCGTATTCGCCTCTTCTTGACGCTTCTTTTGCCGGGTCCTTAAAACACGGTTATATAAAACTAGACTTGAAACTAGCTTTAGAAGGATTAGAATCTAGGCCCCAAGGATATATGGAAAATCTGATAGGTGTTAGGTGCAAGTGGCTTATACAATAAATACATTTTGATGTGACTGTTGAAACTAAAGAAGAGAAGTGAAAAGAGGTGAGGGGAAGTGAGGGAAAAACAATACAGTGAAAAAAAAATACCATGCAAGAAAACTTTTTCTTGCATGGTATTTTTTTTTACCCATGCTTCGTACAAAACTTCGTAGAAATTAAACAAAAAACCCAAAGTTTCAGTCGATTTTGAAAACAGCAGGTACTGTGGTTTATTTCAGAGCTCTGATGCATTAAGTTATGCAAAACTGCTGTCAACCAATATCTTTAGAGTAGGAAGCAAGTCTTTTGAGGTACCAAACTTCTGCCGAAACGTTCAATATACAGTTTTAACTCTAATCCAGCCAGGGGCGTGTCCACGACGGCCTCCTGGGAAGGGAGAGAGGGGGAGGGGAGATAGGTCTGCTGGTGGGGCGATGACCAGGAGGGGGGAAGTGAGATTCCTAAGTAGGGGAGCGACCAGGAGTGAGGGGGAGTTTTCTACAGTTTTGGCATTGA